AATAAATTTTTTATTTTAATAGTATATATATTTTTTCTATTATAATGTAGTATTTTTTTTAATGATAATTAATAAAATTTGTAATCTGTGTTTTTGATAATTTATTAGAAGAAAATAAAAAAAAAATTATAAATATTTTTAATAGATTGTAGTAAATAAAATTAAGATTTCAAACAACATATTAAATTGTTAAAATTGACTTTAAATAAAAATAACATGAAGAACAAAATGGTAGGCACAATAATGAAATATTTTATAAAAATTATTGTTGTTGGCTAAAAATTCCTATGCAATAAAGACATTTTTTCTTGGTAAGACTTGAATTCTTACACATGAAACTTTTCGGTTGACCAAGTTCTCTCATATATATTTTTGTGCATATATGCAAAGATTTTGGATGACCCTTTTTATTTTATTTTTTTTTATGTTCGGATTGGGATATATTTGTTATTCATTATATTGTGACTAATATTGATTATTCTGAAACTATCCAAGCAATCTTTTGTACATGTTGGAGATATATTTCAATGTGTAAACATAATGTATGTATATATATAAGATGTGTAGTGATTGTGAACACATTTATAAACAACAATGACATGTGAGTAAGACATGTCTAATTTTTGGAATTTGGCACAATCACTTTACATTTCATCAAGTCTGACCATAAATTGTCCAATTGATCATCCCCCTCTTAGGTTATGTATTTCTTGCACCAGGAAATGCATGTTATATCTGTCATACTCAAACACATGGTACTGGTAGACACAAACACTATTAGTTGTTGTCTATGAATTTGATTTCGAAGTATGTGTGAAAGTTATTTATATATGTTCTTTTTTGTATTTTGACTTATATGTGGTGTGTGCTATAAATTTGATTTTGAAGTTTGTATGGAAGTTATACCTTTTTTGTTTTATTTTTATTTTGGTTATGTAATAGATCTTTTAAAATCCTTCTTTTGATAATGTATGTGTACACTCTTTAATTTGTATTGTGTAATGAAATTATTCATCTTTAAATTATTTATAATATTTTACACAACTATTAATTTATAAAATAAAAAATTATGAAGTTATTTATTTAATTTTAACTAATTTTTAAGATAATAAATTAAATAGAAATATATATTATTTTAAAATAATAATATTAAGATTGTAAAAAAACTATAATTGAAAAATTGGTTAACCAATTTCTCAATCCAAAAGTATTAAAAAATATATACAAAATTTAGGTGAGAAATTATTTGGTGGGAAACCAATTTCTCAATATGAATAGTAATTGTAACACTTTGATAAATATATTTCAAAGTATGATATTTTAGTCAATTTATTTTTTTAATATTATAAGGAAAAAGTCATTCTTGCCTTCAAATGAGTTTACATAAAGTTATCAATTTGAAGGAGGATTTATATTTTGGGAACTTTGTTAGTTTTTACCATATGCATAAGCAAACTACTTATTGAAGTACCCGATTCAAGCAAACAATCACGCTACAAATTTATGAAGGTAATAAGAATGATAATATCAATAAGCAAGGAAAAGTTTGACAAGAACAAGGAGTTGAAAAAGAAAATATTTGTATATTGATTATGTGTATAATGCATTCTCTAATTTCCTTTTTAACTCTGAAAAGGAAAATAAGGAAATAAATATAAAGATACAATGATATGTTTTTGAACTCCCAAAAATATTTATTATATTTACAATACTCTCCCTTGTAAAATAAATATTAATCATTTCTAACTTGCCAATAAATTCTTAAAATCTAATAATAGGAAGCCTTTTTATAAAGGCAAGTGCCAATTGAAGCACCATAAGAACATGCATCATAACTATAAGTTTGTTCATTAGAATGAATACTTTGTAACAAATTAAACAATTTGACAAGTCAAGTACAATCGACATTTCCCAAACTCCTTCAAAAGAGTTGGTATGCCAAGGGTTCCACTTTTTTCTTAAAAATTATAAAATAAACTTGAAGGAACCTTTGAAAAGTGTGAAACAAGTAAGAGAGAAAGATTCTTGCTTGATAACCTCTATTAAGGAAACACACTATACTTTACCCCTCTTTGTAAAAAAGAGACTCACTTCTCCATTTTGTATACCTAAACTTATTTGTATAATCATATCGAAAAGTGAGATTATTTTTCCTTAGTGGAAACCCTTGTTAGAGAGAGAAATTATAATTTAAGCAAACCCTCAAATATAACCTGAGAGATCTAGTGATATAACTCTTAACCAAGACACTTGATAGTTGTTGTGGTGTAAGATTTACTTTGAGTGCATTGTGAGTGCACTTTTTAGTAACATTGTAAGAGTTGAGAACTCAATGTTGTAATCAACCAGGGAAGGTTGTTGTTATCCAACTATGATTGTTAGGATATATTTATATTGGAAAATCTCATTAGTGTAGTGAGGATTGAATGTAGGCATGAGGTTAAGGTGAACCTCAATAAAAATTTGTGGTATTTTTTTATTCCTTTTTTGCCCCTCTTTATTGCTTTTAAGCTAACAAGTGTTATAACTTATTAAGTTGATGAACAATATTTTGAACATAAAGAAAGGTTTTCAGTAAACCTTTTTACTTACTCAAAGGATTTGAAAATATGTTCCAAGTAAAAATTATTTAAAAGAAACTATTAATATTTGTTTTAAGTTTAGAACAAATATTTATTACAAAAAAATATTGTTTGAAATAATATGTGTATATATTTATATCTTTATGAATAAAAGCATAATTTTTTGAAAGCACAATTCAACCTCCTTCTTGTTATTTTATTTACTTCAACATGCACCCTATAACCTTCTTGTCCTTGGATTTGTCAATGATTTCATAGGTTGATTTTTTCTCAGATGCCTAAATCTCCTTATTGATGATTTGAACCCAATTTTCATCTTTTAGGGCTTCCTAGATTGATACAAGCGTTTTGATTGCATTTATGACTACAATAAGACTTCGATGTTGGAAAGGGGATAATTGATTGAAAGAAATTGAGAAATTGGATACCTAACACATGATTTTGTTGTAGGACCAAAATGGGTTTCTATCACCTTTGGTATTTCTTTTTAAAGAATCAATTTTCTACCCTTTCTTCATTATGATCATCCTATTTTGCTTCATTATGGTTTTCTTCAATGTTGGCTTCTTTTAACACCCCACAAATAATGCTTTCTTGTATAACCAAGGGCTAATAAAGGATTGTATTTCATGAAAATGGCATCTATTAATACAAGGACTTTATGACTCAGAAAGTGGATAACACTTGAACTCCATTTTATATGAGTGGTAACCGATAAATACATATTTGATAATTCTTAGGTCTAACCACCATAGGGACTATGAGAATAGACAAAGGTAAAACCCATAAATACATGACATGGAAAACTTAGCAATAGTAAGGAATAAGGATAGAATAACAAGGTGTTTCTATATGGACTTATACCATTTAAAACATGACTAAGTAATTTGCTAAGGGAAAATGTGGAAATTAGGAGAAGTTCTCCCTAATAGACATTACAAACAAACTTTTCAAATAGGAGAGATTTTGAGAATTCAAAAAGGTGTCGATTCTTTCTTTCTGCAATCCTATTTTGTTGGTATTAACAAAAATTATTTTGTAATTAATACCATTGTCTTCAACAAATTTAGAGAATTCAAGATTGCATTTTGTATGATTGACATTTAGAAAACTAAAATTTAGAGTTTTTTTTTTCAAAATTACCAAATTGATTTCAAAAAGATGAAAAAATTGACAATATTTGAGAAACCTCAAATTTATATTCATAAGAAAGGTCCATGTCACATTGATATAATCTTCAATGAATGTCAAAAATCATTTAAATCTAAATAAATAATCAATAATTGGTTACTCCCACATCATAATGAACAAGATCAAAATGATCAAAGCTTTATTATAACTAGGTGAAAAAGTTTCAAAATGATGTTTAGAAACCTAACAAACATCACAATGAAAGGCTTCAACAAACTATTTTGTAAACAAATAAGGAAATAAAGACCTAATCAATCTAATTAGAAGATGTTCAAAAACATGTAGTTACACTAGATTTCAAAAGTTGCAAAAGACTAGGAAGTTTCTTGTTGATTAGAAGGAAATTTCTTGTTTCTAATATTGCTACAAGAACTATAATCTATGTTACATTTTAGAAATTAAACTCGTCTTGTGGAGTCAAGGTATTAAAAGACACAATGAGAATGGAAAAGGTCCCTAAACAATTCAAATATTGAGTATGCCTATTTATAGAAATAATACTTTTATCCAATATAGGAACATGAAGGACAATGTATAGAGATTTATAAGGGGTTGGAGTTGGATGTTGTCGAGTCAAACAATGGGGACATGATCTCCTTTAGCAACTATAACTAATTGTTTGCTAGGTGCTCTATTGTATGATGTAAAGTGTATGAGGAACAAAGTCATATGGTTTTTTGTTCCAAAATCAAGAGTCCAAATATATTGGGAAACATAACTAAATATGTTGAATGAACTCTTACCCTTCATGATCAAGGAACATAAGTCAAAGAGATTACTCATTAAATCAATGAAAGTTTGAAGATGAACAAATACATCCCCACTAAAGGCTCAAATATCCCATTTTGGTTAGGAAACATGTGCATTAACTTTCAAATTCTCTTAATCATGAGTCATTTGATTTATCCATTATGTAGGACCCTTGTTTCTACATGTGTTCAAGGAATTTATCCTTTTTGTGAAACTTGTAGAAAGTATCCTTGGTATAACTTAAATAAATCTTATAAAAATTGTACAATCCTCTCCTTAGAAACTAATTTTGTGAGGCCTTGTTAGGCCTTAAGCACAAATTCTAAGATACCTAATCTTGTAAAGTTTTCATTGCATGGTTTTCCATGTGATTTGAATTACTTGTTCATCTTTTCATTTACTTCTAATTATGAATGTGATTAGAGATGGAGAGTTGATGTTAAAAGTTGGGTTGGTTTCAACCCATTTAAGCTTTTAGGATGTAAATAATTCAAAATAAATCAACACAAAATATTCAGAGAGTTAGGAATCCAACAATGAAGATAAATTACTTATCAAAATAAAACATCTTACGATTAATTTTTGTACGCCGATATCCTGATCTTGGAGGCTTTTTCTTATGTATGGAAGGAAATTGCAAGATAGCTACAACAATTAAGCATAAAATATGTCAACATAACCAATCATGTCAAAGTAAACCATAATCCAAAGTAAATCAACATGGATATAAAAATAATTTTTGATGATCAACACCAATTAAGGTTGAAACAACAACAATCACTTTAGTAATAGTTAATTATGTACCATGCTAAAGTGTTGTTAAGATGTTGTATAAAATAAGGTAAAGTGGATGCTACACTTAAGAAAAGGAAGTTTCATTTTGGGGAGTTATTTTAGTTTGACAAGTATTATTTAGGCTTAAATGTGTTTTAGTTCCTCAAATATAAGGTAAAATTATTTTTGATCCTTTAAATTTAAAATTAATTTTTTTAGTCCATGTAATTTGAAAACTTTTTACAATCTCTTTGCTTAAATGTCATTAATGAATAAGTCAAATAAAACTAACTTATTATTGAATTTGACACAAAAAGCCCACCTAATAATTTGTTTTTATTGATAACATCCTAATAAGTTTAGCTTTTGTTGCATAGATAACTTAATTTGTCTTTGTTAGTAATGCTAAAAGTGTTCTTGATGGATTAAAACATATTTTTCTTTAAAGTTACAAGGACTAAAAAGATCAATTTTAAATTTGAGAGACTAAAACCAAACTTATTTCAAATTTGAGAGACTAAAAATATGTTTAAACCTATTATTTAAAAACCTATTATTTAAAAGCTTTAGTCTATTGAATTTTTAATAGAATTAAAGAAGTAAAAAATATTCTTACTGTATGTTCCATCTTGTGCATGAAACCATTGCCTAGAGAATACAAAGTCTCGCTTTGAATGCCACCTGAATAAGGTTTTGAAGGGAAATTTAAAAGTGAACATTTTTAAAAGTAAAACATGGATTAAGTCATAGTAAATAGAATAAAATTTACTACCTTTTCACCAATGAAAATATAGATAAATTTGGATATACTTTTGATCCCTATAGTATGCTAAGTTTTTCTTTTTGCCTTGGTCCTTGTAAATTTATTTTTTAAAATGGTCCTTGTAAAAAATTTTTTTGGTTCTATTTTATTTTAGTCCTTACTATTTTATTTTAGTCCTTATTGTATATTTAATTTTCATTATAACTTATTATATTTTGTTAATTTTGAGTTGGTCCACTAGAAAAAAATATAGGAATAAAAGTAAATTATTCACTTATTATAAGGACAAAAAAGAAAAAAAACTATATTACAATAACTTAAAGATAATAACAAGGACTATTTTAATAAAAATTATATAAGGACCGAAACCAAAAAAATATATTATAAAGACCCAAAATATAATTAAGCTTATAAACTAATATAGAAATAAAAGAAAAAAAATAGATAATCAATGATATATAACTACTTGACAACTAAATTTTATCACAAATAGTTATAGCATGTGTGGGAAATAGGAATATTTTAGGTGATATTAATTATTTTAATATTTATTTTTTTTTCCAAGGTTTTTAGATACGTGGTATATCTAGGTTCAATGAATTGTAGAAAATAGTGGTATTTTAATTATTCTCTTGTAAATTATTTTGGAATTAATCATCTTCATAATACTTTGAATATAAATAAATTCATTTCGCTATATGGTATTTTCATTCAAGCATATTCAAAAAATATTTGTTTCTCGCTTCAAATAGCACATGTAGATACATAAAAAAAGAAGAAAAATAACTAATAAAATAATAGTACATTTCCACAATGAAAAATTTTACAAAACGAATATCAAAATCAATTTAGTCAAATTGATAGATCATGCAATTCTTTGTCAATTATAACTCAAGTCATTTTAGCCAAATTTTATTTTTTTTTTAAATATCAATTACCATTAATTACCTGGTTAGATACTTAGGGTCATATGTTCCATAAATAACATCATAATGTCCCTCATAAGACTCTACCAACTCCAAGTCACTCATCAACATATCCCACCTGAAAAAGTAATTATAGGAAAAAAATAAGTTTCCCAATATGTTATCAAGACTCTTAAACACATTGGCTACTTACTCATATCTTTTCTGTCGATCAATGTTTAAAAACACTTCAAAAACACTATCTGCAGTTGCATCAATAACACCAACTGACTTAACGAGGACACCCTTACCATTCTATAAAGCATAAAAAATATGTTAAAGAAGTTTCAAAGACAAAAAAAAAGGATAAAAAAGCAAACACTTATTTAATTTTTATGTGATACAGGAAAGTAATGTACTTTTATAATTCATGTAAGGATAACACACATGAATTCAAACCTAATTAGTTTTCAAGATATATGATGAGAACTAGTTCACCCCACACTCTAAAATCTTATATGCATACATACCTTGTGACCGGAAATATCCTCAAAGATTCTAATACCTGAAACCACAAACCAAGAATATCTAGAAGGATAAGGATCGATGCAAGTATAAGTTTTTCAATCATGACCAATAAAAGCAATAACTAGGATGTTTTTCTCATGATTGCTTCAAAGGTGTTTCTCTCTAAAATTTACAATGATATTGAGAAGCCTAGCTACACATTAAGTTTCCCCCCCTCCATTTTTATTTTGTGGTTTATGTTGTATTACGCCTATATTCTAAAGGATTTCTTATACCCCTTGTTATAGTTCTCTTTTATCTACAATACGTATCTTTTTCATAAAAAAATAAATCACAACCATTAGTTTAATAAATATTAGGAAAAATGTGTTGAAGCAACAAACATTAGTTTGCACTGGTTAAAAAATTGTGTTTGGTATAAGAAAAGTACCAGACATTGTACGAACACATTTCCATTGGTGTGCTTCAAATGCATCTCCATTGTCCTCTTCAAAACCATCTGGATTACTAAAAAACTTTGATGATATACGTCCAAGCTCTGGGGCTTTAGAATGAAAGAGCAAGAGAAATGCCAATTAATGTATAAAGAAAAACATATACAAGGCCAATAAACACACCAAAAAACATAGAAAATAGAAACAAACATGATATTCCTTGAAAAAGTACATATGATATAATTCAGAATCACACTAACACAACTATGGCCCCCACTCATTTTTGGTGCATATCAATGAAGTAAATTACTCTCTTCTTTAAATATGAAGCAAAACAACAACGATAACAAAATACAATGGTATGTAACCCAATCCATAATAATGATAACATAATAGAATGGTATGTATATGAGTTACAAATCTATTAAACATGTTAGTACATTGAGAGTCTCCTAAAGAATATTATTGATTAAACAATGCATCATTTTACCTTGGCCAATTTTTATAAGCTTCTTAAACCCAGAGGCATACCGTCTCATTCTATGTTTTCCTCGTAGGCTGATCCTTCCATGATAGAAAGAGGAGTGATATGTCAATTTATGACATGTCATCTAATAAAAGGATGATCTTTAAGACAATTAATATGCTAATAAACTAAAAAATTAAAATATTATTCATTATGCAAAACACATCAAAACATGAGGAGTAATATTTTATTGTAGCTATATTCCTTGAAAATATTTAAAAAAAATCATAATTTATAATTTTATAATATAAAATATGGAAAGTATAAGAAATTGAAACAAAATTGAGTCTCACATTATCAATAACATTTTAATCTCCTACTTCCTACTAAATATGACAGTAAAACATCATTAATCATTAAAGATTAAGAATACTGACAAGACTGTTTAATTGGTGTTAATCTACTAGATATTTCTTTAAGTGTATGTTAGTTTGAGTAAAAAGAAAAAATTAGACATACTCCATTTCTTGTATTAGTTTTTCTCTAGCATTACTTTCTGTTGATAGTTCACGCTCAGCCTGCAAAAAAGTTATATTAAATAAATTAAAATGAGCTTATTATGTTAGATATGGATATAGTTTGATTACATGCCCATTCTTCCAGCTATGCAAAACAATTACTCTTGTATTTTAAAAAATTCTATTAGATACCCTTAACTAGTTAGTTATTAGTTAGGGGTTAAGATAATTAAAAAGACTAATAAAGCAGAAAAATGTATTGAGAGGAAGGGGATTTTTAAGAATTATAAATGTTGTAAATAGGATAAAATCTCCTTATGTATTTAGAGTATATTTATATTTACTAAGATAGATTTTTATTTCCAGCTTCCCTATTTTCTTTACGATTTTTAGTTTATGTGTTTTCGTTAATAAATTAAGTCTATAAAATTGGATTAGAGTTCGTATTACAAACTGACATAAATATGTTCATTTCTTCCATTTATAAGATCTTTTGTTATAGGCTACGCTTTCATTGCTACCTCATAGTTGTCCTCCACTACTACCCATTGCCACCTATTAAGCGATGACATAAAAAGAAACACCAAGTCCAAGTTGGAACTTTCCCGAAGAATCATATATTGACTCAAGCATCACCCCCGTCCTTGCTATATGTAATTTATTTTCCACCCTCTTGTAGTTCCCACTTTAGTGCCATCATAGAAAGGGTCACTATCGACCCTTCTCCTAGTTTTCGAAGTTAATTTCTCCATGCCTTGTCTTGTTTGGTGGTTATTTACAAGCATTTTTTTTATTTGAATATAATGCCTTCCTATTCTTGTCATGGTTAAAGATAATATTTACTCCTTATAATCCCTAGGCCCCGATGATCTCTAAAACTTGCTTGGATCGTATTAGCTTGAAGGCCATATTTATCTAAAATGGGTATTGGAAAAAACACAAGTTCCATATCAACTAAAGATAAAGTCAAAACAATGTATATAGGTGATAAACAATCCTCACATTACAAGATGATTTTGTAGGATTAAGTCAAAACTCATATTCTAAGGTGATATCAACATTATCCTCGATCATCAAAAATGATCACCTACCATTTATCCACACATTAATTCCAATATCGTTGGACATGAAGAGGTGTATCAAGTAAAACCCAAGTCCCATATTAACTTGAGATAAGAGGCCTAAACAATGTGCATGGAGGGGTGAGTTAGGAGAAACCCAAGTCTTATATCAACTAAAGATAAGGCCAAAATAATGTATATAAATGAGGAGCAATCCTCACCTTATAAGTTGGTTTGTAAGGTTTTTTTCTAACTTACCTTCTAACAACATGCCCAAACCATAAGGGAGTAAAAACAGTCATAGTGAAGAGAACGGTTTAACCTAAGGTTGAATGAGATATCATTAGATCTAGAGATTGTCATAAAAGATCCACTAATTCTTCTATCTAATAAATAATTTCTATAACTTAGTAAGAAAATGTTAGAATATATGCACACCCTTATATATTTTTTTTGTAAGCCTTCTAGCACTTGTCCTTTATCCATGAAGGTTAAAAGTTCTTTCAATATCTTTGGTGTTGTTGCTCAAGATATTTGGATCCTTAATTCTAGGGCAACCCTGAATATTGTTAAGAAAAATAAATTTGATAAATGCTATTTGATTTTTTCTAGATCAAAATCAATTTGGTTAGTCTTGTAAAATTCCAATCTAATAGTTTCACAAAACATGTTAATCAAGGGTTTCTAAATCTCTTAAAGAGAATAACAGTTCATAAACTAACTTGTGTTGATAACACAAACAAAATGGGTTGTAGAGAGAAAAAAATTGTCATTTCCTTGAAGTTTATAGAATTATACTATTCCAAATATTAGTTCCCTAAACTTATTGGGGGAAAAAGTTGTCTTGAAAACCCTATATCTTATAAATTGGTTATTGACTCGTGTCTTGAATGGAATTAATCTTATATAAAACATATATTTTTCCCTTCATCTCTTATCATGGTAAGTCTTTGAACTTGTGCCTTTTGATGTATTGCCATTATTCTTTCTCACACTTAACATTGAGATTTAAAATTGTGGATGTGGTCGCATTAAGGTTTTTACAATTACAAATATTTTGTTTGTTATAATGTTAATTATTATTGTTATGATGTGAATTATCCACAATATTACAAAATAATATATTATTAATTATTTTGTATGTTTGGTATGAATGATACGATTGTCTGTAAGATCATGTTTTTCATTTAATGCATATTAGCGTTATATGTGTGTATGTGTATATATATATATATATATATGATATTTTATTGATGTTTTTACCTATTGTGGGGGTAATGGTTAATGAAGAGATGACCCTAGGCTTGAGTTATGGAGTTATAACTTAAGTGTGAGTGAAGTTAGTTTGGGAAGGCTAGGGTATGTATAGAAAGTTTAGAAAGAGACCCTCATATTTTTTAGTTTTCAAATACTAGTGAGAAAATATAGAGAGAAGGGATTTTGGACCTTAGGAACTCTACCTTGACTTTTTCTTGTCCCTTAGGCCCAAGATCTTTTTTAAGCTAGATATTGAAGTTTCTTGAAGTTGAAATAAGATCATTAGAGTTGAGATCTTGAAGGTTGAAACCCCGAGAGCTCAATTTCAAGGCTTTTGAGGAGAACTTTCTTTTTAATTTTGAATTTTATTTTGGGAAGTGTGATTAAGTTAATGGATGCATAATTGTAGTTCATATATGTTGTATGAATGTTTTTGTTATTGTTAGCAACTAGAAATCGAGTTAAGTTAAGGCCTAAGTGCTATAAATCAAGTTTTCACTTAGTGAGAATGGTCTCACCTTAATGAACAAGGTTGAAACTTAGCTAAGCGGGTTGAGCTCACTAAGCTAGTCTTGGTCTCTATCTGAGAAATTTTTTAATTTTCTTAGTGAAGATGGGCCGCTTGGAGAATTTTAGTCTGTGTTACATGTGAGTGGCTCACTCAACGATAAAGCCAAGTTGTGGGTCATTTAGTGAGGAGTTCTTGCACGATGATGGCCTTTAGTGGATAGCCATGCTTATTCGCTTATTGATGGGGAGGTCACTCAGTGAATGTTAGTCTCTAGGTGAAAGCCTAACATGCACTCAATGAATATGGTTCACACAATGAGTTTTGGTCACTGTGTTTACACCTTTTTAATTTTCTCAATAAAGGTGATCTCACTAATCTAAGTTTATGCCCTTGAGTTGGGCATGTTGAGGAGTCTCACTTAGCCAAAGGTGATGGCTTAAGGAGCTTTAGTCTTGCCTTGTTGGGACGAAGAGGTTCACTCAACAAAAGATACTTTGATGGATGACCATTTTTGAGGATGCATGTCGGCCCCTTCACTAGGTCCATAACTAAGAGAGTGGTGGGGGATCAATGAGAGGTTATCTCAGTTATAACCTTGCTCATTATGATTATTGAGTATTCATTCTATTTTAGGTCTTTACTAGATTAAGGTTTATTGCTTTATTTTTGTATTTCCCATTTTATCCTTGTATTTTGGGGTATCCTAGATGGTAAATTTTTATCTTGTTTTGTTCACTAGCTATGGTATTATATTAGGGTTTGAGTAATTAGGTCTAGACATTTTTTGGTATTTATTGGTGTTATTTTTGGGCTTATCGAGCATTGGCCTAAGAGAAGCCCACCTAGGTTGCATAATTTTATTATGCACCTAGATATAGCTTAGGCAAACCAAAGATTCCATCCTTGGTCACTAAGTTGGCGTCAACTTTTGGGTTTCATATGGCTTGTATTTGTGATGCATTTTCTTTCCATTTAGCATGTAAATGAACACAAACCTAAACCTAGTTGCCACCTTCATCATTGGCCAAGTGACCTCATCCTAATCTATAAATATCCTAGGTCATCCTTCATGTATTCACTTTGGATCATATTGATATTGGGAGAGCCTTTATGCCTCAATATCTTATCCAGTCCCCTTGGTCTATTCCACCATCTTCTTTTCCTATCTCCACCTTGAAAAGATTGAACCCTAGTGATTGACTTCATCACTATGGAGTGAGCCAAAATCCTAGAGCACCCCCTCAAACATTTTCACAAACACCTTGTCTCTTTACTTCCTTATGCCCCATTTTCATCTTGGAGCTAGAGTTGCTTGAAGAATCAAAGGTCCTTGGAAATGATGCTTCTCCATTGATATGTCATTCATCAATGGCTTGGAGTTTCCATCATTGTGGTATCTAGAGCCATGGTTCTTAGAAGTGTAAACTCTAGTCCATTTCTTTCTTTCATGCTTTGGTCATGTTTAGTGTCTTCTTTATTGTCTTGTGTTTTGCTAAATAGATCATTGTCAAAATATATTCATATGGTCTAAATTGGTTGTCTTGTGTTTTGATTCATGCCATGCTTTCTTGTGAGTCATCTTGGTGCTTAAGGTAAATTTTTTTAAGATTCGCCCATTTTTGTTTTAATGTTGCATTTGTTGAAAAAAAAACTGCATATAATAATAAAAAAAGAGTGATGAATATGCTTTTATTTTGTTAATCTATTTGGTTTTGTCAAAAATATTGTATCTCCTAACTTGTCTTTAAAGAAATTCCAAGTTTGTGTGCCTAAACACTTTCTATGCTCAAGAAAATATAATGCATGCTATATGTTTGATGAAATGACCATGATATTCTAGAGTGCTTTAGAGAGTAAATCATGCATGCTATATAGTTTTAGCATGTTCTAAGTCTTTTTGAATATCCATATGTGACTTGTTTCTTTACACATACTCTCTTCTAAATTTGGTCGTCCATAATCATCCTTCTAATGTGCACTTAATTTGATCACTATTGCTTGATAATTTGAGGTTGAAAACTTTTTTTATGTGCTTAAAAACATTGTTGGACAGAGATCATAAAGTGCACATAAATTTCAACGAAACTTAAGTTATTTACCCCTTTAATCCACCACTTGATTGGTAATTGTTCAACTCCAATTTGTGCTAAGAAAATTAAGAAAAACAAGTGTAAAATCTAGTAAAAGAAGAAAAAAAATTAAAAAAAAAAAAAAGAGAAGTGGTTGGACTA